TAAATGATTTCCGCCAAAATCCACGCCTACATTGAAAATTTCTCGCCTCACATTTTGTAGCTCTTCGATGTTTGTGAAATCTCTGCGGTCATCCCGCATAAGCTCGACGTACAGGGTGTATGTGGAAGCGCAATCATGGCGACAATTATAGCGTTCAGAAACCGTAATTGGAGGACGAAATTCATCGAGAAACGATGGCTGAAATGCAAATTAATCTCGTAAAAACTTAAAAGTATGGCATATCGCATGCCGGGCTGATGCAGGACGTCGCGTATATAAAGCAACTTTAAAATTCACTTCCACAAAGAGAACAGAAATGAACGAACTGAAGCATAAGGCACAGTTTACGCCAAGCCCTTCTATTCTAAAATCTACAATTTAAAGCTGCCGACTGTGTATCCCAAGCAATCTCATCGGAGACTATTCGACTGGTTTCTCTTCTTTCGGGTCGTATAATATGCATTACTCATTAATGGTTAGTAAAACAACACATGTTGCGCTTCAGTTTCGCTTTTTATGCGTTTTTTGCAGCTATGCAATGCAAAAACACATATTGTCGAGGTTTCTCTGTGTGTGTGTGTGTGTATGTGTATGTGTGTGTGTGTGTGTGTGTCTTTGTATTCATCTGTACCAATTTTTCATCTCGAGGCCTTCAAAAGCAACATGACTGAAATTTTATGGACTTAATCTGCATGCTCATACGAGCCCCTTTTATCAAAATGGGCTTTCTTACTCGTGTGGCCCCCACGTACGAGCCCGTCAAAGTTTTTAGCAGGTAAGCTGCTAACTCGGGAATTTGAAAAGCTACAATACTGAAATTTTAACGAGATGTTTCCCGCCCACGTAGGTCTTAATGAGCTCCAACTCAGCCCCCAGCTATGCGTGATTACCGCGCACGGTCCAGTGAAAGTTTTCTGTGGGTAACTGCTAATTCGGGGAGCTGGAAAGCTATAAAGGCTGTGATTTTAAGTAGATACTCCCGACCCATGCACAACCTAGTGATTTCAAGCTCTGCCGTGCATGATTCTCACGTACAAGCCTGTGAAAATTTCTTGCTAGTAAGTTGCTAACTCGGGAACCAGAAAAGCTAGAAAGTTAAATTTTAAGAGGATGTTTTCTGACAGTCCTGGCGGCCAGTCTCAATTCTTTTAACTAGAAGCATTTGCCGGGGAAAACAGTGCCGTTGGCAACAAAAATCTGCTTGGGACTGTGCAAAAAACGCATCTTCGCACCGACAGTCGGTGCGCTG